CTTTGAGTTTCCTCTTCAGGATCTGGCTTTCTAAAGAGCAGCCGGGGTTGATCTCCTCTAGGACTGACCGGTTGGATGGCCTTGCAGTCCTTCTTTTGCCCTCCATCCTTCCCAGCATGAGGCTCTTCTCCAGGGAGTCCTTCCTTCCCATGGCCAAAGTCTTTGAGTTTCCTCTTCAGGATCTGGCCTTCTAAATCACAGTCAGGGTTGATCTCCTCTAGGACTGACCGGTTGGATGGCCTTGCAGTCCTTCTTTTGCCCTCCATCCTTCCCAGCATGAGGCTCTTCTCCAGGGAGTCCTTCCTTCCCATGGCCAAAGTCTTTGAGTTTCCTCTTCAGGATCTGGCCTTCTAAATCACAGTCAGGGTTGATCTCCTCTAGGACTGACCGGTTGGATGGCCTTGCAGTCCAAGGGACTCGCAGACGTCTTCTCCAGTACCAGAGTTCAAAGGCCTCCATTCTTTGGTGCTCAGCCTTCCTTATGGTCCAACCTTCACCGCCAAACATTGCAACGGGGAAAACCACAGCCTTGACTAGACACACCTTTGTTGGCAGGGTGATGTTGGCAGAGTGTCACTCTCCTTCCCATTGCATAGGTTGGATCTCGGTATATAAGAAACAATTTCTTACTTATAAAAGATTTACCTTTAAGTCTTCAATTCTTGATTCCGGGTATACGTAGCTCCGTGCATGCAAAACTCCTCAACTACAGCCAGGAAGGGAAAGAAATTAAATTTGAGAGGTGTTATCCTTCCGTAAACGAATCCATCAGTTCACCCTGTCACGGCGAGGGAGGAAAGGGACTGCAGAAAACCATCAATCTTTCTTCCCCTTTTCTCATTTTGACCAGTGTCTCACCGATAAGGGATCAGAACTCACCCGAATTGCCGTGGTGGACACCGCCGGTCGCTGTATTATGAATGAACTTGTCAAGCCAAAATGGCCAATCAGGAATTACTTGACCTGGTATGTCACTTAAACTTATAACCGTTGCAAAACTTGGACACTACCCAGAATTTTGAACGTTTGGGTACTGCAGATGCCCGAAATGTGAGCTCTTCAATTTGATATACCGTATTTGTAGGAGTATAAGACGCACCTTTTTCCCTCAAAAAAGAGGCTGAAAATCTGGGTGCGCCTTATACATTGAATACAGCATTTTTGGCCTCCCTAAACACCCCCCCTTCACCAAAATGGCCGTGTGGAGCCTTTAGGAGGCTTTTTGAGTACTCCTGGAGGCTGGGAAGGACAGAAATGAGTGAAAAACAGGCCGTTTTTTGCTCAATTTTGTTCCAGCCCCCAGGAGCACGCTATAAGCCTCCTAAAGGCTATGCATAAAAAATTTTTTGATAAAAAACGGGCCCGTTTTTGTGAAAAACTGCCCGTTTTTTGCTCATCTTTGGGGGGCCTCACCCCCCAGGAGCACTTTACAAGCCTCCTAAAGGTTATTCATGCCTTAAAAAAAAAGAGGCCCATTTTCATGAAAAACAGGCCGTTTTCAGGAGGTCTGCAGAGTGCCAAAAAAAATTTTTTAATTCACCTCTTCAAAACCTTGGTGCGAGAGAAGGAGAGAAGAAAGGAGGGAAGGAAGAAGGGAATGTAGGAGAGAAGGAAGGGGGAAAAGAAGGAGAGGAGGAGAGAAGAAAGGAGGGAAGGAAGGAAGGAGGGAAGGAGGAGAGAAGGAGAAAAGAAAGGGGGGAAGGAGGGAGGGAAGGAAGGAAGGAGAGTAGGAGGGAAGGAAGGAGGGAAGGAAGGAAGAAGAAGTAGGAATGTTATCAGATAAGATGGAGTTATGGGATGGTAAGAAAGCAATTTCAAGTATATTGTCAACTGTAGGGGAAAAAATTGTTATAAATACATATTATTAATAACAGTTATGAGATCATATAATTGTGAATGTATATATGAAATTAATAAAATTTTCAAAAAAAAACACCTTGGTGCGTCTTATACTCCAGTGCATCTTATACTCCGAAAAATACGGTAGCTTTTTTTTAATGTAGCATCCTGGGAGTATATACATCCTGGGGATGGTGTGGGGGGTATTGGGATTATGTAGTGGAATGTAGTCTGGATTCTGAGGAGGGAAGGGCTACTTCCTAGAGGGCAAAGAGGCAGCAAAGGTTTGATCAACAGGAAGAGAGTTAAGAAGGCAGCTCCCTAGGAATTCACAGATCTAGAGTTATGCAGATAGTCCTTAACTTACAACAGTTCATTTAGTGACCATTTAGTGGCGATTCACTTAGCAACGGGGGCAAGGAAGGTCGCAAAATGGGGCAAAACCCACTTAACACCTCTCTTGCTTAGCAACGGAAATTTTGGGGTTTCGATTGTGGTCGTAAGTTGAGGATTATCCGTACAGGTATCGTTACCTGGGCTGGAATCTGTTCCTTTCTTGAAAAAGCCAAGACGTTGGAAAGTGTCAACTTGGACGCCCCTAACATGTTCTCTCTCTTGTGTTTTGAAGTTACTCGGGGATCACGGAGGAGTTGCTACGCCCCGTGCAAACCACCCTGGCAGAAATCCAGAGCCGATTAAACGATATTCTGCCTCCGGATGCCATTTTGGTGGGCCATTCCTTAGATGCTGATCTCCGAGCTCTAGAAGTGAGTATCTCTATTCCACGGTCTCAACACTTTCCTTTCCCCTATTTTTCCTACTATTTGCCTTTTTAAAAAATTATTATTATTATACAATTGTATCACAGCGGCCAGTTGTTTCGCCGGATTTGGCATTGGTTACTAGTCGGGCCCCACCCAGGGGCCTAGGACGTCGTAACGTATTTTCGTAATATGCGTGCAGATCCAAGCAGTGTGGCTTTTTGCATTTGACTGATGGTGATTTTGTCAATTTTTAACTGTTTTAAATGTAATTCCAGTGCTTTTGGGATAGCACCCAATGTGCCAATTACCACTGGAATTACCACTGCTGTTTTGTGCCATAGTCGTTGAATTTCGATTTTTAAGTCCTGGTATTTTGCGATTTTTTCATGTTCCTTCTCGGCGACCCTGCTATCACCTGGTATTGCGATGTCTATGATTGTGACCTTATTTTTCTCAACCAGTGTGATGTCTGGTGTATTATGCACCAGCATTTTGCCCGTTTGTATACGGAAATCCCACAAGATCTTGATCATCTGATTTTCGGTGACTTTTTCAGGCTTATGTTCCCACCAATTATTATTGTTGTTGTTGTTGTTGTTGTTGTTATGGCTGTGCCCGATTTGATGGCCGTCCTTGCCATGTTTGGTAAACGAATTGTTTCCGTTGTTAAGTGAATCGCGTGGGTCGTTCAACAAGTCACGCTCTCCCCATTGGCTCAGCTTGATCAGAAGCCAGATCGGAAGGTCCAAACAAAAATGGCGATCATGTCACACACACACACACACACACACACACACACACGCACGCATGCCCCATAATGCTGTAACTGTCATAAGTACGTGCCAGTTGCCAAGCACCTGAATTTTAATCACATGACTGTGGAGGAGTTGTGACCCTCATAAGCCTGAGGACTGGTCGTAAGTCCATTTTTTCAGTCGCAAAAGGAATGCTCTTGTCAAGGGTTACAAATAGCATCCCAAATTAAATCAGAGTCCGAGGCAAAGTATTGCTCAAAGTTCTAATTTATGAAGAGAGCCATATTGGCGCATCTGGGAAAACCCGAATCTGAACGCTTCCCGGTTTTCCCCACCCAGTTGAAAGTTCAAGACCTTGCCCCCACACCCACAAGTCCATCACACGGTCCAATCTCCCACTGCCATGCTGACATCTTCCACCCATCCAATTCCGGTCAGGTGCAGAGACAAAAAATGACCTTGGCTTTCTAGAAAGAATGTTGTTATGGCTACCTATCATCTAACTCTGTACAATCCCCCCTCCCATTTTCCCACCATAGAAAAGGCCTAGTAGAATAATAGAAAGTGTGGCAGGCCAACGATCCCCCCCAAAAAAGATGGCTGCAGGCCTGACATGGTCGTAAGTCCAGGACTCTCCGGACAGGATCAAAATGTCTTTTTTGTTTGTTTGTTTAAAATGCCATGTTTTGAAACGCCTTTCCTTTTTCCTTCTCGTATTTCCAGATGATTCACCCGTATGTTATAGACACTTCGCTTCTCTATGCCCGGAAAGGGGGCAAAAGATTCAAGCTGAAGTTTTTAGCAGCTGCTGTTTTAGGGTAAGGAGGTTTGGTCTGAGTTTCCGCCTGCGGGCATGTCTCCTCACACTTTCCAATTAGGATATTTCTGAATTGCTCCTCCGTGCAAGGAGTTCCTTTCACAGGAAGGGTAGGGTTGCTGACGGATAATTAAAGAATTGTCAAGTCCTACAAGTACCGTATTTTGGGGAGTACAAGACATTCCAAAGTATAAGACATACCTACCGTATGTTTCAGAGTATAAGACACCGCGGAGTATAAGATGCACCAAGATTTTTAAGAGGCAAATTTTTTTTAAAAAGGTTTTGCACTCTGCAGGGCTCCCAAAACGGCCTATTTTTCACAAAAATGGGCCCATTTTTTTGTCAAAGGGCATGCATAGCTTTTAGGAGGCTTATAGAGTGCTCCTGGGGGTGGGTGGGGGAAAAATGAGCAAAAAATGCCCCCTTTTTGCTCATTTTTGTCCTCCGCAGCCCCCAGGAGCACTCTGGAAGCCTCCTAAAGGCTATGCACGGCCATTTTTTGCAAAGGGGGCGGGGTTTCAGGAGGCAAAAAATGCTGTATTCAGTGTATAAGACGCACCCAGATTTTCACCCTCTTTTTTGAGGGAAAAAGGTGCATCTTATACTCCGAAAAATACGGTAGCTTTTTTTTGGGGGGGGGGCGGGAGAATCTGCCTCTGCCTCCCAGCAATTTGCCTCCTTGCAGCCAACAGCAAACAGCCTGTTTCAGTTTCAGCAGGGCCTGATTAGCACAAGCAGCTGATTGTCGGTTAGACAATCAGCTGTTTCAGGCTGCAGGGATTGCCCTAGCCTATTGCAGCCTCACCAACTTTCCACCCGTTGTGGGGCGGGGCGGGGATCAGAGTGGGCTGGAAATGGGGCGCGTAGAGGCCAAAAATGGGGCATGCGGAGGCCGAAAATGAGACGCGCAGAGGCGGCAATAGGCTATGGCAAACCCTGCAGCCTGAAACAGCTGATGGTCAGGAGACTTGTATATATAAACTCATGTATATAAACAGAGAACAATCCCCACTCCCTCCTAGCACTGATGAAATTACCTAGTTGGGTAATGAAACCTCTGCCAAAAAAATAAAAAAAGCAGAAAGGATCCCACCCCCTGCAGTTCAACTAAAAATATTCTTATCTAATTCTGCCTGCTTCTTTGTTACACAATAGATCATATCAATGTTAATGGATGCACCGGTTACCTGTTTCCTTCTCCTTATTAGGAAAGAAATTCAGAACACGGGCGAATTGGGTCACGATCCCACCGAAGACGCCCAATGCGCCCTTGAGCTGGCCCAGTATTTCATTGAACAAGGATCCAGGAAAGTAGGTGCCTTAGCTCTTTTTACGACTGTTGTTTTAAGGACAGGAATGGATGTGTCTTTTTACCCTGACACGGTCCTAACAGTGAGGACAATTGACCAGTGGAACAGAAGTTGCCTCCAGAAATGGTGAGCGCTCCCATCACTGGAGGTTTTTAAGTGGAGACTGGACAGTCACTTGTCTGAGGTGGTATAGGTTCTCATGCTTGAGGAGGGGGCTGGACTAGAAGACCTCCAAGATCCCTTATAGTTCTGTTCTATTCTACTCTATTCTCTATTTTCTATTATTTTCTATTTTCTATTCTATTCTATTTTCTATTCGAATTTTNGGACGACTGATAGCCAAGTTCCAGGAGCTGCACCAACATCAGTCTCTGGATGGAAGAGAGGGTTGGAGTTTCAATTGCCTGGAAACAGCTCCGTGATATTTGCTCTGGCTGAGACGGTTAAAAAAAAGGAAGGAATTTGCACCAAATCACTCTACTGCAAGACAAGAACTGACTAGCAGAGTATGACGGCTGTAGCCAGCTGAAAGCAAGGCCTCCTCCGATGGGGAGTACGAGAGGGGGGGGGGGGACGGGTTTGACTTCCAGCTAGTAACTGCTCCTCCTTTCCTCCACTATCTTCATGGCAGAGTTACAAAACGTCCCGTAGGAATTTACCCTTCAGCCAAAGTAGATAAAACAAAAAACAAAAACGTGCAATTTTTGCACACAGGAAGATTCCTGAATTCAACGGCTCTGGACTATGGTAGGTGCCCCGTCAGATGAAATGCGTCGCTGCGGTAGCAGGAAGGACTGCGGTTCCTATTTCAAGTAGCGGAGCTGGCTGTCCCTCCTTTCTCTGCCAGGTTGGCCAGAGCAAAGGGCGTTTTTTCTCTCTCTCCAGGGAAAAAGCTTCTGCTTTTATGCTGCGTTCAGTAGACTTGTGTCCAAACCTCAAGGGGATTATGGGCGCTTGGGAATCGGTGTGTGTGTGTGTGTGTGTGTGTGTGTGTGTGTGTCCATATTCAAGGAGACTGGGTTGGATTAGAAAGCCTGGAATGTGTCTCCTTAAGATTGCTGCTATGCCTGTTCTTTTGACTAGAAGCAGAAAGGGCGAGGTGTGTGTGGAGGATAGTTGCTGGCCACACCAGTCACTCCCAGTGCTACTTCAAGTGTTCACCATAGCTGTCTTGTCCGAGGGCCACACTGGTGCCAGACCAACATCTCTATATTCTTTCCTTGAAATGCACTTTATCGTTTTTCTTGGATTTGATTAGCCCGGCTCCTTCAGCCACTCCAAAAGTGCCTGCGCTAGAATCACCCGGTTTGTTTCCCCCTTGGGAATACATGACACCAGTAGGAAAAACCAGGTGGCTCTGGCCTCTTCCTCTTCTGCCTCGGTTTTCTTTTAAAGAAGACACTCGTGTATTCTTAAGTCGTTTTATACAGTGACCAATTTGTTTTACCATTCGGTTTGACACGTTCCCGTAATCTGTCACGTAGCCTCGGGCTCTTTATCCCTCCAGCCTTGGAAGGAAGGGGAACAAAACTTTGCCTCTCCCTTCTCTCTCTCAAGATGCAGAATGTATTTCTGGGTGCCTTTTACACTTTATGTAAATAATAGGGGAGAGTGGGGGGGGGAATTAATTAGTGGGTGCCTGTGCAGTTGCCTTTTCGTCCCTCTGGACTCCAGGCGTGGACTTTTTTTAACATCTGCAACATTTACGTCACTGTTTGGGAGCAAAAGGATGATCCTCTACCTTTCCGTTGTGCGAAGTTGACACCACAACGGGAGTGAGAACTGGAGGAAAAAATCAAGGAGGCAAACGCCACAGGAAGCCAAGGCAGCCGACAGCACAAAAGTTGGGGACAGAGAGTGGGAGGGGAAGGAGGAAACAGGTGTGTTGTTTGTCTGACACTGGACCAGCACTATTGGTAGACCAGTTGGGGGAATGTTCCCCTCACCTCCTCTTGTGCTCAAATAGGCAGTGCTTCTGTGCAAAAGGATTGTTCGTGGATCTGGAGAGGGGGGGCCGAGTACTGTCCACGTGGATTGGGGGGAGGGTGTGGGGGGGGAATGCCTTACTATGGAAGTAGCTGCTAGCGTCTGCTGGAGAAATAAAAGAACTAAGAACTGCACTGCATCAGACCAAAGACTCATCTAGCGTTGTCTTCCCTTCCCGTTGTGGCCAAGTAGAAGGATCCACAACTATAGCAATACTTTTCTGTTATGTTCCTCAGCAAAAGAGAGAAAGAGTGAGTGAGTGAGTGAGAGAGAGAGAGAGAGAGAGAGAGAGAGATGGAGAGATGATGCGGTTAGCTATGGGTAACTTCATGATTCTTTATTAAAAGTTATCCAAGTTGGTGGCCATCTCTGGATCATGGGAGAAAGCAGCATCCCATTGGGAATCCTGTTTGAAGTCTTTTGTCATATCCAGTTCTTCAGTGACTGGCTTTGGATGCTGGGGAAAACCTTTCATGAACTTCCACTGATATTATATTAAAAAAGATACATATAAGGCTTTCTCCCCACTTGAACTGCTGTCAAGGTGTTGTAGGTTCCACCACAAAACCGCGTCCGACAAACCACGTAGCTGATGTCATCAACAGGGCGACAACATCCAGCGCGGAGAAAGAAGGGCGCTTTAAATAGC